ATGATTGTTCAGTTATTTGTGGTGCAGTTTTTCTGTCATCCCATGGTAATTTTATTCTAGTGCATAATCATCTAAGAATGCATGACTGTTGGCGAAAGGTCCGATTCTCGGGAGAATAACTACGGGCCAGACCACCAACTGAGCTACTGTCGGCGATAAATCACCCGCCGAGTGTGAGGGCCTTGGACCGTGGTGACTGGGGCAGGTGGTGAGCGAGATTCTCCCGAAGGGTTTAATGAATATAAAGCGTTTTGAATAATGCATCAGTTCTGTGAAAGCTTCGTAAAGCCCGACTATTTCTGCTTGAGCTTTCGAAATCGATATCTCTTTATTCGGCTGAGTGGCAGAATCGCCTTCTTTGTAACTTATAAAGTCGGAAGTATATCGTGGAATCAATTCATACCACATAGCAACACCATTTCGAATTCAAAGGAAAGAAAATTTGAGGGTAAACAAGTTATGAGCGATTCTATATAAAACGGCTGTCCCTCCAAGGTGGATCCTATGGATTTCTTTTAGCAAAATCTTCCTGTAGACTAAGTAAATGTGGCCGTTGGTTTCTATGTATGGTTTCATGGAGAATTCGAAGTCACGCTCCTGTGTCGTTAAGTTCAAGCAGAGGGCCGCTGGCAAAGGCTTCGGTTGGTGATTTGGTGGAGTATCGATCGTTGCGTTATAATTACTTCCAGTTGGACTACAACCTTCTTCTACTAATTTCGGTGAAAATCTGTATGTAGGGTTAATGATGGTCATGGAATAAGCGTGAGACCTGCACTTGGCTCTAGCGCTATTTGGAGCAAATCTGGAGGGATTTGTTATCGTTATCATGGAACGCCGAACAGGAATACATGTATTTCAGATTTTTCTGGTCCATTCATTCGATCAACTAGGTAGCTTTTATCTGGGTAGGGGATAGCCGAGTGGTTAACAGTGTAGACTCAGTCTGCATCTTCGAGAGACGCGCGTTCGATCCCTACCGAGTCTTTAGAATGCTTCGCAAAAGCTTATAGCACCAGCTTCAGGCCCAGGTTGACAAGCCGGCTGACGAAGACCTTCCTGAGGTTTGGAACTCATAACTGCTGTAAATTAGCTGGCCTGCAATTTTGTTATCGGAAGTAGGATTGTTGAGCTATCGACTGCCCTACATTTCGAATACATCCATAGTGTTTATTTAATCTGAATATAAAAGTTGCTAACCTCGACATTAGTGAACCCCGTAAGCGATTTAGGGCGACATCTGCCGCAAAATGCCAGCTATTCGATCAGATGCATTGTTCTATCCTATCGAGAATTCGTCGTTGGCGTGTCCATTATTGTTAGATGCGAACTAGTAATTAGTCGAGGATGTTTTGCTCAGCTCTTAGCCATGCTGTTCCAAGTCCTCCATAACAAGATGTATTTAACAGTCGTTGAAAGGGGGAGGAGGGGTGGGGTGGGTATTGTAAAGAGCAGCGAGAAAGGAATCACTGATTTTATTACTTCATAAAATTGTCCGTGCCGTGCGTTGTCCTTCGGAATAATGACCTCGACAAAGTCCGTATCCATGATGTGTTGAAATGCGGATGAGTAATATTCGCTGACTGACTGGGTGTTTCGCGTGTCGAAAGAGGGATTGCTGTGAAAGAGGGCGAACGGCGAACTTTACCTTAGTGCTGACAAGAGAGAGTTGTGTGGCTTGTTTTTGTTTGTTAACTGCTGTTTTAACGCCGCAGTTCGCGTTGCGAATGTTTCACAAGAATGCTGGGTTGTGAACAAAACTTTCGCCCCAGGCGGGACTAGAACCCGCACCTCTAGCTTTCGGAGCGCGTTTCACTTCTCCTGTCCAGATCAGGTCACCTAAAATCAAGTCACCACTCATTTGTTTGGGGTCGGTCTAAGACTAAGCTCAGGCCCAATCATAGGCTTTATATAGGCCAATGTGTAAGCATACAGCTGACTAAGGTGTGTTGATTCCCCTATCAACTGCTGGCTTGGTGCCAACAATGACCGAAAAACTCGTCCAGGCAACCCTCCCTATTATGCACGCCCTCTTCGCTGCTGTTTGAGAGGGGGCATATTAGGCCTTCTTGACGGTTTCTTTTCATTTTTTTATCACTGTCGTTCCATGTTGCACTCTCTAAGCTCAGTTTCAGGGGCGTTATACCCCAAATCGAGCCAGACTCATGTCTTTAAGCCTAAGCCCAAAACCCCGCATAACCTCATAATCCATGATTTATCACTGTTATGATTGACCTGTAAATAAATCAAAACAAATAAAAAACTTCAGGCTTTAATGACTGCGTAGCTCTGGTGGCCTGACTTAGAAGCAGAACTTAACGTCTTCTCTAGCTCTTCAGAATTCCACCTAGAACGAAAGTTTTGCGCATAACTCTGCATTCTTGTAAGACTTGTGTAAGTGACACATAATGGGTTAAGGAATCTTCCGCGGAAAAAGCTCCGCCTCCATTACCACAGAAAAACGATACCTTAGGCCCCTAGCCTCATGAGCATAGCAAAAAGAACGGAACATAAGCGTTAGTTTCGATAATACTAATCCTACACACAAGACAAAATGATCACTCTTTCCGTGGAAGATTCCTTTAAGGTATCGTTTTCTGTGGTAATGAGGGCGGAGCTTTTTCCGTGGAAGATTCCTTTATTTGGCCCTTTTATTTAGAAACGATTAAAGGTTATAGGGTTGGAGAGGTAGGCGTAAGCAGAGGAATTAAAGGACTTTAGTTCTGTAGAAATTCACACAGTATACCTGTACCATGTTTGTGACTACGGTGCTTGGGCGTTCCAGAAGTGTATCTAAATAACGACGACGTTATTGGTCGTTGTGAGACCCATTGTCGCAGTGTGAACTGGCAGCTTATCCATCGCAAATGGACTGTGTGCTGTTGGTTGTTGCACTTGTCCATTACAGCTGTATGCATGGAATTCGACGAGTTATGGGTCGTAATTTTACGCAAACTGGATGCAAGGGGGTTTTGCAGCGATGCCATTCGTCAGTAGTTGAGTGGAGTCGAGTCTCGCACTTATTATGATGGTAATTCGCAGTTGGCTGACACTGTTGCATGGATGATCCTCATATGTGCGACTGGTACCATTAGTGAGTAGCGTTCCGTTGACATTTCAATACCGGATTGTATGAGGTTTTCCGGTATTGCTGGGATATCCATTAGTGGGGCTGTTAAGAAATGTCGTGAACCCGGTCCGGCTATGACCAGGACAGTCTCCGTCATTTTTGTGAATAGCAGTTATAAGGGAGCAAGTATCAAAAGGCAAACCCCGGCTCGAATCTCGCCGAGAACCTTGCATCCTTCCAAAATCGGTCAATCGGTACCAGTTTTTTTTTGAGAAGAAAAATATCTGAATTTTACCTTGATTGGCTGAACCTGCAAACCTTTGCGTAGACCGTGCATCTTCCAAAATTTCAACTCTGAAGGAACGAGCGAAACCAGCTCAATAAAACCTCAGCAGGGCACGAACTCGAAAGAGACGACTACGAGCGATCGATCCGCTTGAAGATGTAGTTCACATGGCCTCTTTTTCTGCCTTCTAATTACACTTTAATCCAGAGCGCAACACTAGTAGATTATTGCATTAGGCCAGTCTAAATTGGATGAAAATGTCGAGTATAAGAAGAGTGTGCCTGTACATACCGTAATCATGTTTTATTCGAAGGACCTAAACAGAGATTTGTAATTAGTGGATTGAATGAATGTTGTGTTGGTGAGTCATGACAACCATGATTGAAGGAGTTGCATGTTTCTCAAAAATGATTCTGTAGCTTGAATTTGGCTGACTTGCGGCCGAAACAGGCAGGTGAAATAAGTTACCTGTGGGCTATTTTTTCTGCTTGAAGCCTTTCTAAGCAAATTTTGGCGAAAATGGTGAATCAATAGTACATATAAGCAGCGTATCAGGTAAGGGGGAGCTATTTCTCACTGCTGGATGTTTTTCTCTAGTTTCGTTACTAAATGGTTGAGGAGCTGAAGAAGGGTTTGTGCTTGCCTCCACTGTAACAGCTACCTTTCACAGATATCAGGAACTGTTATTTTATTTGGTAAAACGGCAATCAGAAGTACCAAGCTTTAATTCGCTGGCAGCGCTAAAAGCATGGCGCACACCCAATCAGTGCTCAGCAGTACATTTGTCCTTCAGATAAGAATCTGAAGGTAGCAGGCGTGAGTGCTTGGCGTGGGAAAGTGTTGATAGCTTGCTCAGTGTAATCCTCTGAACCCATCCTATTACGGGTTAGACTGAATTGAGCATTCAGCACTCCTAAAACCTTATGTTCCCCCATACTTTTCATTTTGAGATTCTGAATTGTTCGTGTTACTAAAATGCATGGCGCATTCCAAGATGGAGCTCCTTCGAAATTCGAAAGCGCTATCTTATAGAATCGAGCACTTTCTCCATTTCAAGAACTGCAATCCTATTTAGACTTCTAATGTAAAAGTGGGAAGGCGGACTTGTAAATTTCCACAATTTCACTTGTTTGTGTGAGCTCTCGGATTTTCGGGCAAAGTCGGGGCGTAACTCTGTAATTTTTGAATTGTCTTTTTTCACCTGATATTTAGTAATACACCGAACTACCATTTGAGAAGGCTAATGTATGCATCTTCAGACCGGGAGCCACCGTGCTCTAAACAATTAAACCCTAGCTATTAGTTTGCCCTGTTTTTCCTAGATACTATCAACCATTTCTGCCTTCAACGGCATGTGGAAAAATGCTTTCACTCATGAAGTTTCGTGACTGAACATCGAAGCGTTTATTTATTTATTTATTTATTGCACGCTTAGGTGCGCTACATTAATTCACATCTTAACATCAGTAAAACTAGGGAACACAAAACATTGTTAAGTGAACCAGCTAGGCAGCAGGCGAGATAAAGAGATGATTCTCCAGGACTAAATTTGGAAAAGCAGAGATGTCGATAAATGCAGATTAGGAGAGTTTTTGTCTGTGATGGTGACATGAAATTCAAAAAACAGCATCAGTAGGACTTGGAAGTATGTTCACATGTCTGCGTGTAATTTCAGATTCAGAAGACGGAGCTCCGGTGATAATAGAGCACCCTTTGGATGTGATCGTATCGAAGGGCTCTCCAGCTACATTGAATTGTGCCGCTAAACCACCGGGAGCACAAATTACTTGGTATGAATGTCACTCTCTAAGTAAGAATAACCTCTGTTTGCTTGTCCAAATATAAATTTGGTTATAGGTACAAAGATGGTCAGCCAGTAACTACTAACAAGGACCAAGTAAATAGCCATCGAATAATACTCGACACAGGAGCTCTCTTTCTACTGAAAGTCAGCAGTGGTGAGCGCGACTTTTTATTACGACACTGCCCTGTTCCTTTACTCTTTCCTAATTCACCAAGTTTTTTCATCGTAAATTATGTTAAAGAAGGTCTCCAATTTTGAGAGCATGATCGGATTCCCTGTCGTTAACTTTGGAGCTCGAGAGCCCATATGTGGGCTGCAGCCTGCCAACCGTGGGATACCTTACGTCATAATTTGAAAACAAGCATTCAGTTTTTCTTTTGTTTCTTCTTCCCATTTCATGCAATAAGATTTCGTCTAGATCACTCAATAGGTTTTTGTTCTCAATTTGCTCGAAAGATTCTTTAAAAATTTCAGTGAAGTCCCAGGCGGCCGAAAAACGTAAATCATGCCCGGTCTCCAGCGTATTAAGAAAATATCTCAAAATGGCGGCTAGAAGTTTTTGCGAGCGAATTTTTGTAGTGGTAACCAAATTGGAAGACGAAAAAAGTGCGCAGGAGTCGGCCGACATGGTTTTGTTCCATTAGCGTACATGATTTGTCCAGTGAAGTGAGGAGCTGTTGCTTGAAAAATTATTCCTTTTTGAAATTCATGAGATGGATATTGATCGCGGAATTTTCCGCTGTATTGAGCTGAGACAGAGCCGATTTGAAGTAAGTATGTGGATTACTCTTTGACATGCTACTATTTGGGGCTATCTGAGAGCGATTTCGACTTGATGAATTATGAACCTGAACGGACAAATATCATGCAGTTCGTATTTTTCATTTATTCGTTGCTGTTCTTTTGAATTTGAATATGTTACGGGTACGTACAGCGAGGAGCAGTGATTGGATGGTAGTCTAATTCACCGTTTGCACCCTGCTTTCACATGTCCCATAGCTCATCCCAACGCTCATCCTGTATTTCGGCATGGTTAAAAAATTGGAGGAATTTTGGGAAGCGCGACATGATATTGTAAATGCGGCAGGATTGACTTATTCATTATAATTTTCTAAGGGGAAAATATCCCACTTGACAAGTCACAGTAATGCCCACATCCCCTGACAGAGCAATCGGCATGTTTTTTTTCTTCAGGAAAAAATGGGAAAGATGGCGATTCCGGATCGTATCACTGCGTTGCACGAAATGAACATGGCGAGGCACAATCACGAGAAGGGACCCTCAAAATCGCAATGTTACGGGATGACTTCCGTACCCGACCCCGAACAGTACAAGTCAGTTTTTCTCATAATTAGATACTTGTTTGCAGGAATTTTGTGTAACCTCTGTTTTAATTTTCATGTCAGTCGTTGTTTTTGTGAAATATTTATTTATGTTCATATGCTAGGATGGGTGTTTTTAGGCGCTATCGGGTGATAAAGCCGTTTTGGAGTGTTCACCACCTCGAGGATTCCCGGAGCCGGTAGTTAGTTGGCGAAAAGATGATCGGGAATTGAAACTGTCGGAAATCCCACGAATGACATTACATCCGGATGGAAATCTTATCATTGAACCTGTAAGTGTTACTTCTTTTATCTTGGTGTTAATGTGGTCATCCAAGAAGGCGGTGCTGCGCATTTGCAAATGGCACGTCTGCTCGGATTTGTATGATGGCATGCTTGTTTGCTTTATGCACAGAAAAGACGTGCCCTCATACATCATTCGGAATTTTTTCTCATAAAGGGTCTCAATCGTAGAAATAAATAAATGTTGACTTAAAGGCAGTGATCACGATGGTTGGAGGGTGTTGCGAATGGATGAGGTCCTTGAACGTTATTGGTGGAAGGGAGTTAAGAAGAGGTCCCAAGCGCACCCAGTGCGCTGAGGGGCATAACATCATCAGAATTGTACCGCCCTCCAGCCATTGTGATCACTCTCTTCAAAGCAAATACTGCTAGAGGCTGAAAAATGTGAAGAGTGAATATTAGAGATTTTTTGAGACATGTGGACTGCAGTTAGCCTTTGCCCTTTCGTGAACTGAACGGAATGCATGATGACTGTGATTTTGTGCTGAACAACAGTTCAGTATTTTCATTGCAAAGCTTAAAAAGTGTAGGACAACCCTTTATCAACCCTTCCTTCTCTGTTCGAAAAACAATCGACACTCGATATTCGTTCGACTTTCACTAGAATGAGGTGGTTTGGGAGAAATTTCGGTGGCAGGTTTCCTATTCATCTTTATGATGGGCCGGTGATATTTTCTCACTTTAAAGAGTAGGCGGTAAATGAGTCAGGTGCCAGGTACTCCGCAAGAAGATCTTTAAAGTGTTCAAGTTCTGAAAACAATTATGAGGCAAATTGCCCTGCACGCTTGCAATCATTTTGTTGATGGTCCCATGCATTTTGCAGTCATCTAATTCCCGGAATCCGATTTCCGCGCGTTTGGCGCGATCGTAGCGCCGTTCCATCTAAACGGAATGGCTTCCGAATAACCGCAGTACGATTTCTGTTTCTGGAAGTTCACATATTCCACGCCTATCGAGACAACTACGTTTCTACTGGGTTCATTACGTCTGAAAACTCGTAGAACTAGGGGAATCCGCGTTTGTTGTGAATCATCCTCAAGCAGGAGCAAAAATTGAAGAGTTAAGAGTCATTCAAAAATGCAGATAGGAAACGCGTTTTTCTTAGCATTGATTTACACGTGTCTCTAATCAAGCAAATATAAATCCCAAAATTTTTGAAGGGATTGGTAGGACAACGATGTCGAGAGAGGCTACGAATAGATACAAATCTAGCTGTATTGATTCTCCATAACGAAAGTTCGGTTAAAGTGGATAGCTTGTACCTCTAGCGTAAAAGTATTTACAAGTGCTCAATGCGTATGCTCCGCAGGTCTCTTCAAATGCTGTTTAGTGCGGATAAAAGGAGTGCAAGCTGGATTCTCTTCCTTAAAGGTAGATAAGTTTCCCCAACACTTTTTTACGAAAGGTTCTGCTCTTGGTTTTTCGTTCTTTTTTCTCTTTATTAGTCCCAAACACAGTAATTGGCTCACTCATATGAATGCTCCCCTCCCCTCCCCCAACGGCATGAGCGCCATGGATCTGATGTCCGGTTTTCTTGAAGCTGGGCATCTTGGAAATATTGCTTGTTTGTTGCTTGCCGTACAGGTTGTTACGATGGAACTTATTTATTCGGTCGACGTTTCGAACAACTCGTCGTCTTCAGGACCTGAAGTCGGTTAGAAGTTCATAGCTTGTAACTCACTGGGTCAATTCTCACGATGCTACTCTAAGAGCTACAAATAGAGGAAAGGTCTCAAATAAAGAAGTCCATCAGTGCCACGTTTTCACCCTATTCCTCGAACAGATGCGGAAGAATGAGACACACATGAGAGTGAAGGCATCATACGTGCATTATCCCAATATCGTCTTTATGTACATGCCTTTGAGAACGATAAAGTTCTGCTCTATTGTTTTTCGAGCATGTACGTAGAGACACCTTCCACGATAAAGCCAGATGGTTTAATCCTATCTTAGTTAGGTAGCTCTCAGGGTACGGTAGAAGTGATGATGGGACAAGTGATGTGATTGCGTCCAGTCACTGCAAAGTTATGAAAAAAATGCGTTAGCGATCACGCGGTCACTGAGATTCCGGGCTGTGGATGTTGCCTTGACGCTTTTGATTTTCTCCAACTGTTTCGGGAATAATTTGAGAATTTCACAAGATGGATGCGAATTAAATTGTCGTGACCACAAAAATATGCTGCATGGCTCAATCTGTTCCGCAGAGAAAATTTCAGAGTGAAATGTTTTTTTTTCTAGGTAGAGCATGGCGATTCTGGAACGTATCAATGTGTGGCTACGAATATGGTGGGAGAACGAGTGTCTAACCCTGCTCGACTAAGCGTTTACGAGAAACCCAAGTTCCTGGTAAGTAGGATTCACTGGAGAAAAGCTGATCCTGAGAGATGTGCGGTCTGGTGTTCGCGAGAAAGCTTTGAACCCGCAGAGCGTGTGGGTGCTGTTGGGTAGTTGTGGCCAAACTCATTACCCACGGTCCCCTAATGCGCTCATCTCGGCATGCTGTTGTAAGGCTTCTTCGTCGTTTGCTCGCTAGTTGCTCATTATCTCTATCAGTAGCAATATGCAGGTTGCCTCTCTCTGAGAATGTATGCTACTATTTTTGGAAAGTGAAAAGCGGCAGTAAGCAAAACCGAACGTTCTGTGTAGCCCGCGTGGCTTTGTGAGCATAACAAGTTGAGGCACACTGCGCGCAACGGGTCAAAGGTACGCCCTGGGATTGTATCACAGGAGTAATCCATCTGATTAGCAGGGGGACAGAGTTCCTTGTGTAGGTACCGTTATGCTGTTCTCAAGGACTACTGGGGCTGTGCCAATGCTCTCCATTAGTGCTCACGAGTGCCTATTGCCCGCTACGCAAAGGCCGTGTATCTGTACCCTCTCGTACCGCCTGCTGTTTCGCGTGTTCTCGTTTCTCTGCGCGCTGTGTCTCTTCTTTATACCACGGTCGATCTTTAAGGAACTTTAAGCCCGTGTTTTTGTGTATAGTTCGGTTTGCCTGGCTTTTCCTTATTAAATTCGGTCTATCACGCACCTCCATCTTCAGTACTGAACGTTCTTGGCGCACGATCATTATCCTGGCCCTTACATTGAGTAAATCAAACGCAGCTGCTCTCTCGTCGCATTCTTCAGCTTAATTCTGCTGCAATGACAGTAACCGTTGCCCTTTAAAGATGGTGGTTGTATGGTAGCATTCATAAGCCTCTGATATTTTTTTATTCTTTAGCATACGGAACTTCGCAAATAGTACTGAATAAGTAAGTCATCTTTGCAGCAAGAGCCCAAAGATGTCACAGTCGACGTGGGTTCTTCTGTGCTCTTTGATTGCCGCGTTTCTGGTGAGCCACAACCTCAGATCAGTTGGAAAAAGAAGAACGATCAAATGCCTGTAGCCAGAGCCTACATAGCGAAGGACAATCGTGGTTTACGAATCGACAGGTGAAACCGAAGTTAATCCTCACCTTCCGAACTCTGCTATTCTTAGTTCATTAGCTTGGTTACGTAGATCAAGATAGACCATTTCAGAGTGCAAGTGTCAGATGAAGGTGATTACGTCTGTTATGCGAGGAATCCGGCGGGTTCAATCGAGTCATCAGCTCGCTTGAAAGTTCAGGTCAGTGCAACAGGAATCATCGGTTAATATGCTCTGAACTTTATATATCAGTGGCAAAATACATTAAATTTCAGGCACCTCCAACTTTCCAGACGAAACCCGTCGATCAAACCGTTGCCCATGGTTCCACAGCTACTTTTGATTGTGTGCCAATAGGTCAGCCAACACCGGCGTATTTCTGGAGTAAGGAAGGGCAGCAGGTAATTGCTTCCACAATATTCTGGAGTGCATGAACTGATTGAGCTTGAATGAACTCCCTGCCCACGAATACTTGTACTCATAACCGCTCACAATTTTAATTTGAAATTGTAGATTTTTAGACCTAATTACTATTTATTACTGTATCCATACTAGTGCTAAAAAATTGTATTGAGTATTTTGGGATAGTCAAAGGTTCCGTGACTAGGTAGGTGTGGGTTTTAGTTACCGAAAATGAAGTTACCGAAAATGATTCGCGTTTTTGTGGACCATAACACAAAACACATAAAAATAAAGAATTACTAAGAGTGTTCAGAGTTCAGATTGATATTGTGCGCTAGTCATGAGGGAGGGATCCTTTATTCAGCCCTAGCTTCTTGTAGGTTACCTCTGGATCTTACTACAGTGAAAAACAGCAAAGAGGGGGCTAACCAATGAAAAGCTAGGAACCGAGGAACGGCCTATACGATCGGCGTGCAGTGTAGACTCGAAGGCTCTCAGTAGTTTCGCTTACTTTCTTCGATTACTTACCGATCCAAAATACCACAAGTTCCTCTCCTCATTTCCCTATTTAGTACCCCACACGTATTTAATCGCTCAATGTACCCTTAATATTGAAACTTTCATTTTCATCCATACAGGAGGGTCTATCATCAAGAGATGTTCAGGCTCAGCGGTCTGGAGTTCGCAGGGTCGACGCTTTTGTTTATTGACAGTAAATGTCTTGTTTAGAACACTGGAATGACTCCGTGTTGTTAGAGTGTTCTAGAATCGACATCGGAGCGCCAGAGGGGAGAATGCGCTCGGTCGGGTGGCTAACAAATTAAAACTATCCTTTCGAACTATCTTCAATGAAAAAGGCGAAAAATTTGCAATGTGAGGCTATCCGATAAAGCTTTCTTAGCCTCGACTGCCTTAGAAGAGCACATTTCGGCCATATGTTGGGTAATAGGGCATCTGCAAGGAACAGAGTAGTTTTGAATTGTTTTGTTTGTTAACTGCTGTTTTAACGCCGCAGTTCGCGTTGCGAATGTTTCACAAGAATGCTGGGTTGTGAACAAAACTTTCGCCCCAGGCGGGACTAGAACCCGCACCTCTCGCTTTCCGGGCAAGTGCGCTACCAGTTACGCTACCGGGGCACCATTTCATCCCAACTCAGCTTTTCATGGTATATCTGCTATAGCTTTACATTCGAGTCCCGCCTGGGCGAAAGTTTTGTTCATAACCCAGGATTTTTATGAAAATAGTGTTCAATCCTTGCCTGGTCGACCCAGAGCTTTCTCAGAAGAGAACTCTGGAAATGTTCGATAGCGAAATGTTGCATTTCCAAAGCATCACATTCTGGACGACTTTCCTTGTTAACTAATGGGGCAAATAAAAGGATAAAAAGGATAAAGCATTTGCCGTTGATCAATCCCTTTTTGGGATGCGGCACGCATTCTACTTCCATTTGTACATTCGTAGTGGCGTTTGAATGCGATGTGGCCTATACAATGACTTGCGGGGGCCAGCCGATGTACAAGTCAGTGTTTTTATCCTCCCAGACAAGTCTGGTACCAATTAACCGACCCCGGAGGGATGGAAGGCTTGGTTGGCCCGGGCGACTCACGACCCAGGATTTGATCCCCGGACCGCTCGCGTGGTAAGCGTGCCACTTGCCACTACACCACTTCCGCCCAGAATGGGGGGAGGGCAAATAATGCGTGTCAAAAAGGTCATAATGCTTAACAATCGTGTTTAGGAGTCCCACCTATTCCAAAGAAGATTACCCATTGTGCTCTAGATGGTTGTTAAAACAAAAGAGTTCAACCCATTTTTTCAGAGCCTACTGTTCCCCGGACATGTATCGGCTGATGGACGAATAAAAGTCTCGTCATCAGGCACGTTGACAATTGCTGACGTACGACCAACTGATGAGGGTGCATACGTTTGTGCAGCGATGAACTCAGCTGGCAGCTCGTTGAGCAAAGCGCTGCTGAAGTTGTCAACTAAAAGTAAGCTACCATACGTTTTTCACAGGCTGTCGAGGTTGTGCTGTATTTGAGAGGGCAGCTTTGCCTTAGAGATGATCGGAACACGGTAAGAGAGCAAATGTAGCTTCGTCATGCATACTTCCACATGGAAGGAATGCAGAAAGGTTTCTCTCATGTGGCTTCATCTAAATTTTATACTTTTTCAGTCATTCTAGGCTTTCCCCCCTTTTTCTCCATTGAATTCTTCTTCCTACAATGTTCAGAGATTCATTTTCATTTGGGCGCAGTCATTGATGGACTTCGTTGGAAATTCTAGGAGAGCCCACAGAAGCTCAGTTCTTGTGTATGCAGCTGCATAGCGGTGGCATTAGTTGTGTGTATGGCTTTTTGAACTGACATGTAGAATCAAGTAGATATAAGAATAAATTAAGCAGACGTCGAAAAAAAAAACCATACAGTAGAATTTTTACGCATCAATTCGAATCAGAACGTCAGCGGTTCATATACAAACTCAAAATCAAAAAATTTTTGCTGGAGGTTATAGTTTGTGAGTTATTTTTATTCGTGATCAATGATAGAGTAAAGAGTTAGTCAGAAATCTCCTCTAACATCACAGATTTTGGTGGAAATTTTTTTGTCTGAGCTACTGGTAATTAGCCCGTAATGTTTTCATTTAGAAGAGTACCTTTTTTTCTTTGCGAGTTTAAAAGCTGTTTAGGAGTGGTTTAGGGTGCGAGCGCTTTGTGACCTTCAAAAGAAGATCTTGTCTCTGACTACTAAGCCGTTGAAAATTGATGCATTCACCATGTTGCCTTTCCATGGAAGACCTCATAGTGATGAGGGAAGCAGATTATAGACATAGAACAAAGAAATCCACCTAAATTGTGACATCGTCTCGTTTTGAGCGGTGGACAATTCTCCGAAACAGACAAAGGCAGTTTTAGACATAATGGGTGCCTAGGTGGGAAAATAGACTTGGATTTAAGGATCCATAGCGGGCGAGTGAGACGCAGACAGCCACGCATTCGTAACGCGATGCAGGTGTATTGATTCTTTTTATTCTTGAAATGTGCATCGATGTGAGTCACAAGCCCTTTGCCCCCCCCCCCCCGCCATGCGATTGCAGAGGCGGACCCAGCCACCTCATCAACGAGAGGATTTGTTACAATGAAACTAATTCGCGGACCGTGCCCTTGAGTCCGCCCTTTTTGTCCCCCATAGCACTACGATGTGTAGAGAAGTTTTGAGCAATGAACGTAACAATATGGCGGCCATGATTAGGTGTTTACATAGAATCATAAAAGCGCTACAGAATCTTTGTGTACCTTTGTGTGTCAAATCAGAATGTATGACTCACTAAGTGACTAATATGTCACCACTGATGGATGGATCTTTCACTGTACTACGACATGGTATCAATTCGCACTACTTGACGTTTTGCAACATGAAAATTGAATTTAAAAAAATTGAACTTCACAATGCTGAAGTTTTTCTGTCCTCCCGTACCACCTTTTCTCTAGGAAACAGTAGCTAAGTATTTTTAGCAGCCACATAAGACCCAATTAGCTCTCAAGTAGGGTCAAACGTCACGTTAACAAAACCTCTAAAATTGGACGATTTCCCTCCTGCAGGAGACCACAACAAGACCCCAACTCCAGCGACCGGTGTTTTCTATAGTGTCGTAAAATCTGGTACATCTTGGCAAATTTCAAAGCCCTCTGCCCTCCTCCCCATTCCCTCCTCAGAAATTCAACAACTCCAAAATGCGTCGAGCAGCTCGTGAGGATATACGCAACGGTGAAACGGCAAATTTCTAGAATTTTTCTCCATTTTTTTTAGAAATCTCTTCAACTTCACACAAATCTCCTTCTCTCCGTATTTCATCGAGAATACGACCTTCTTCCGTGTGTGGAAGCACAAAATAGGACCTTACTTGTCGGGAATACCTTAAAGTGCAGTTGAACCTTTTCACTACTGCTGGTTTCTTCTCCTTTGGGACCTTTAGTGCTTTTTAAGTAGTTGACAGGCGATGAGAACGACTTGGCTTTCACCTGAGGCAGCTGCCAACTATATGAGCCATCAATGGCTCCTTTTTCTGGGGTGCTTCCGAGAATGCTATAGTATTTAATCGCGCTCAAACTGTGTCTAGACCCGTATGAATATTTTTGATTGGAACAAAATTAGACGGAGTATCATCCAGCAATATTAGCTGCAAGTACGATTTCCAACTCATACAGTTACAGTTTCGTAGGCGACATACAGTGAAGGGTAAGCAGGGCAATTAAGAAATAAAAAATCGTCATTGACAAAATAATAAAATGGTTCGTATGAAGGACCGACCAATTTTTCCTTTGTATTCGGCAGGTCTGTGCCCTACAGACTCCACAAGGCAATGACGACGGCCTCCAAGTAAATCTGGTAATTAGTAATTTATAGTGATAGCTGATTAGTTGGTAAATGATAGTTGTAATTAGTGACAACTGATAGAATACAACTGCAACAGGCTAATCATTTCATTGGCAGAAACATTTACATTTTGTAAAGGCCGTCGTTGTTTGTGTTGTGAAGTCTGCAGTGGACACACAGTCGGCCACCGAATACAAACGGTAATCGCTGTGGCGTGTGGAATGCCTTGGTTGTTTATTTTCATGTCATTTTCGTTCTCGCCTAATATCCTTATGTTCTGCTGGTGCGTTCTGTTTCTAGCGCTTAAGTCCCTAGTAGCGTTGCGAACGCGCGCGTGTTTTGTGTCTAGTGGCCACGTTCACTTCTGTTCGGGAACCTTTGCTGGGCAGCATTGGGATTTTTTGACCTTTCTTCCTGTTGATTTGTTGTCTGTGATGAAACAGGTGGAAAATATAAGTGCGTAAAATTTAAAGCATCACTATAAAGTGAGACAATTTCTGATTTGTTCTGTTTGGCGCTAAGTGTTTCCAGAGGGGTCACTCTGTGGGGAATCCACTAGGGCTTAGCCCAACGGAGAGGGACAAATTCCGAGAGGACGAGAAATGCTTACGCACCTTGGAGCCCCTATTTCTCAAGGTTTAGTCCTAAACCGAGGGCACCGAACCGAACCGAGTTGTAGCGGTAGCTGTATAATGGTGTAATTGCGTAGGTGGCATTTTTATGTGATAAGAAAGTAGTGCGCGTTAGATTTCCAGCTGGGGCAAATTGCCTTGCCCAGAACTTACCATCGTTGTAATTTATCTGAAAGGCCCTTTCGTTTTTCAACCGCTGTCGATGTTGCTCGAAAGAGTGCAAACCGTTCTCAATTTTTTTTTGCAGTTGATGAATTGAGGTCAGTACCGGCCTCACTCCAAGTAATCCTCATAACGAATTCGGCCTCCGGACCGCGAAACAACGCGAAACCAGTCAGTGCGTTGTGTTCGGCGAATTAATCTTCTGCTGCTATTATCGATTCAAACAATGAGTTCGGTTATTGCTTTTATAGATCTTGGCGCTATCACAAGATACGGGGGCATTATGGTGGTAATACGTTGAGAACCACGTAAAACACCTCATCATTTTTTTGAAAAACAGGATCAGGCCTCAGGCGGGGATGGCAAACTCCTCAAAGTTGTGGGAGCGATTCCTATTCTCCTGCATGAGCAATTTTTATGTTCCCCGAAGTTCCTCCCCTCCTGTGCTGAAGGATGTCTAATTATCTTTCGATAGTGCTTGAAAAAACCTGTCCTAGCAGGGTTCTTACCTTCGGCACCAATGATGTGGAACGATGCGCTAGCCCTAGAATTGTGACCTAAAAAAACCACTTCGAAAAGACCTAGAAAGGGAAGCTGAACAGCTTCGAAGTGGGCGTGGTTGTGCATCCCCTCGGCCGATTCCAACCACGCCCACTTCGAAGCCGTTCAGCTCCCTTTCTAGCGGCTTTCCAAGGTGAGTTTTTTGTTCAGTCACACTTCTTATGTTCTTGACTAGGGCTAGCGCATCGTTCCACACCATTAGTGTCGAAGGTAAAAACCCTGCTGGGACTGTTGCTTTAAATCTTTTCCTTTCCAATGTAGGGCGTAATTCAAAGCATTTTTTGAAGAAATGAGGGGCTTAATGCTAAAGACCAATTAGAGCGGCGCTAATTGTCCTGAAGTTTGCAGGAATTTCCCTCCTTGTTCCTCTTTGCGCTCGAGGATTGCTTAAATGACATTGTGTAGCTACGACTGGATGGTGCCGAATTAGTGTTCCAGTTTTCAGCACCCGGACTGTAGTCAGTTAAGTAGAGTAATGGGAGCAAGACCTGATCTTTATATCCTGTCAGAAATACATTAGAAACACACTATGATGGTTATCATAGCAGTTCTTCCCATTTTTCTGACGCGTAACCGGAACGCTTTTTCCCGTTCTCCGTTTCCCGTTCCATGTGCCTCTTCTTTTCATGGGAAACATCGCAGTTGGCTCGGTGCTGATGTTGACAGCCATAATGTGATGTGAGATTTACCATATTCTTTTCACTGTTTACCAGCGATGACTAACCTTGAGCGGTTCGTTTGTGGTTCATCGGCGAGTTTTGTGGCTGCTGGTCACATTAACTCGACGTTCTCATTATACCCAAGTGCCACCTTGACACCTTGCCTGGTTGCCGACCGACCGACCGCACACCGCAATGGGCTCATATTTCAATACGCAACCAACGGCATCGCGTCCTTTTTTGCACGATGAGGTGTCACGGTATTCCGCACTTGACGTGACCCCACTCGAACCCCTTTTGATTGTGGGAGACACAGGCGATGACCTTACCTGGGCTCCGATTATATTTATCCTGCGTGATATGTGTGAAAAGAATTGTTTGCCTTACTTTTTCTCACTAGTATACTTTGCTCTTCGAGTAACCCTCTTCTCTTTCGTGGAATAGCTGTGAAATTTTACGCCACATTCAGAATGTGGGCAAGTTCCGAAATCCGACTTCCGCCCTTAATCTCCAATCCAAACTGCCCTTTTTTGCCACTCTGATTGCTACTACTTTCAATTTCGCCATTCTTTCTTCATTGTGAGCGTTTCGCAGTCTGTTCCCAATAATTTCTCGTAGCTTCACTAGGAATGCTTGTTAGGAAAGTTAGTTTGGGTACACTAAAGTCTTGCAGATATGAGGGGATTTTTAAATAGAGAAAAACAACAAATAGATAGGTATTTATGCTCGTTTTGCATAGAGAGGTACATAGATGTGCGGGTTTTTCGGTGATGTGAGGTTTTTGAAAGTTTTTCTTCATTTTTAAGACATTATTTTTCTGCAAGCACTAATCGTTCTTCATTTTAGCGTGTAGTCTATAAATGCAGCCCTAGATTTTACGCCTTTTGAAAATCGGTCCTCTTTTCTTCTCTAAAAGGCGGAGTAGTAGAGATGGACTCAGAATTCGGCTTAGTTGGCTTTAATCTATTTGATAGCGCTATTATATGAGGCTAATTGATCCATGGATCGATCACGTGTTCTGATACAGCTCAAGCCATCAAGCCTTTTATTTTTTGTGGGTCCGGTTATGTGTTACCAAACTCATGAGAGCAACCTAACATAGGCCGTCATGCGCCGTCACGATTATGGATGGAATTCCAATGCGCGGCGCATCCTAACTGGTGATTGATCGATGGCAAGTAATTTCGCAGATGTAGCCTTAATAGGAGAAGCCAAATGCCATACACAGTGCTGGGAAAACGTTTCTTTCTCGTCTGGGCTCCTCGGCCTTTTTTAGCTCGTTCACTGCAGCTGCCTCTCATTTTCTCTC